GCTCCGTGCTCCGGGTAGGTGTGCGAGAGGCCTGTGCAAGGCGGAGCGCTGAAGGAAGAGCAGCTTGCTCTTCACCTGAGGATTATTATTGAGAAATACAGCAATACGAAAAGTGAGTGACAATATTGTCCTTTACTGAACAGCACAAGAATTTCCCCAACTAGTTATTTATGGTCCTTTAGATGGTTTCCATTGCTGTTGCACAACCCTGCAGACAGCTGTTCAGAGACATCGCTCCCCTCCTTGCTGTGGCTTCGGTTTGGAGTTGGCCCTGCGAGCCAAGTCACTCGGGCAGTGACAGATGCTTCTCTCTGCAAGCACTTGCTGAGCCCCTCGTAGGGCACTGCTGTCCAAACGAGAAAGCCAGGGTAATGAGATCACCACCACGAGGGAGACAGCATTTTTGTCTTGAGTGTCCCTAAACAAATACACATGTGGTATTTCGGTTAACACAGCAGAATAGCGTGCTAAGGAGCCACGGCTGTTATCCAGTTTGTGTCAGAGCAGTGAAGGTCTGTTAACTCTGGCTGCCCTGGTTCACCCTTCACTGTGAGGTTTGCAGCTGAATTTGGCGTGGATGATGCTGCAGCTGCAGCCCGCACAGCCCTTCTTCCAGATTGCAGTGCTCTACCTTGTTCCTGCCATCGGTCAAAGCCAGGGAGGTCCCTGGACTTAATTTCACATGTTTTTTATCGTGAGAAGTTAGTCTCCAGTGGAGGCTGGCAGCTTCCACCTCATACCCATCTGATCCCATGGCTGGAGCAGAGGGAGAGTTTGTATCATGTAGATTTTGTTCTGCTTCCTATACTGCAAAAATTGAGCTCTTTCTGGTTGTTCTTTGCTCCTGGTAACCTTTTATTTTCTTCTAGTCTGGGAATGTATTGGCCTAAGTAGCAAATAAGACTTTGTTATGTACATTTTAATGCCATGTAGGCGGTTTTTGAGTTTGCAGTGCATGTGGGGGAGGGGGGGTGGGGAAATCCCTGATTATATAACCGGTGAAAATCCAGATCTGAGCTTCAAGAATTGGGTTCTCCCAGAAATGCTATTGTGCTCTTTTAGCAACATGAAACAGCTGAAGGCTGCGGTGAGTCGTGCGTGCATCTGTCCTTGTGTTACACCCCAAACTGCCTGTGTTTGCTTAGCCGGGTGTTTGGAGGAGAGGGAGGATCAAGTGCTGCACGCTTCTCATTTTTCACTCAAGATGCTGGTGCTTGGGTGGACACTGAAATGGAGAGAAGACCCGTGGGAGCCTGCACCCGTCTCTGATGCATTTATACCCTGCCTCTTATACCCTGCCTCTTGGCACCATCAGCACATCCAGTGGTGCGTCTCCATCTCGGCCATTTCCTTTCCTCACTTGCACTTGGCATTAGAAGGGCACCTGGCAGGAGCTGGGCTTTGTCTGCAGCCTGGTTCCAGGTCCCCAGAGTGTGACATGCTGACTCTTCTTTGTTGGTGTTAATTGCTCTCATGTCATCTATGCGGAAAATTCCCAGGATTCATTCTGCTCTGTATTTAGACGGGATTTATTTTGGTCTATCCTGCTGTGCCACCACAGTCTAGGGCCAAGTCCCCGTTGCTCCATCTGGGCTCTGCTCGGTTGGTGGTGGTAGCAGGCTGCCCCTGAGCGGGTGCTTTGGAAGAGAAGCTCTCGTCTCGCCAGTGCCACCTCCCTCACCAGTCCCTGCGACACACAACCTTTTAGTAATTCATGGCCTGCCCAGAATATTTGCTCTCATGCAGTCCTGTCATTTCCTGTGCTGCATGGAAAGTGAGTCCTTCTGTAGTCTGTGGCCTGCTCTGCTCTGCTGCGGCACCTCCATCCCTGTGGTCCTGGCACTGGCAAGGCCAGCGTCCCCATAATTTTGTGTGGCTCTGTGCTGGCTGGTCCCTGGTGACAGCTTCCAGACGTCATGATGTATCCCCAACAGTGTGCGGGGCCAGGTCACCTGCCACCATTCCCGCACACCAGCACCCGTCACGTGGGCAGCGTGCCCCACGGTGGTGCGTGCGAGTAAAGAGACAGTCTCTTGTCACCGGGTGGTCCTTGTTCCTGCAAAGTGACTCTGATTTTCATGGTGGGAAGGTACATGCCAGCTGTGGAACCCATGTTCTATTGCCAAAATGCTTATGGCCTGGCATGGATAGCGGCCATGCCCCCAGAGAGCTGCCTCGCTGTGGGACAGGGGTCCATAGTGGCCTGCAGCAAAGGTAACATTGGTAGAATCATGGAAACTCAGAATGGTTGGGGTTGGAGGGGACCTTCAATTAATATCTGCTGCTCACTAGCCCAAGTTGCTCAAAGCCTCATCCAGCCTGGCCTTGAACCCCTCCAGGGATGGGGCATCCACAGCTTCTCTGGGCAGCCTGGGCCACTGCCTCACCCCCCGCACAGGAAAACATTTCTTCCTTATGTTCTATCTAAATCTGTCCTCTTTCAGTTTAAAGCCATCGCCCCTTGTCCTGTCACTACAGGCCCTGGTACAAAGTCTTTCTCCACCTTTCTTATAAGTGCCCTTTAGATATTGAAAGGCTGCAGCAAGGTCTCCCCAGAGCCTTCTCTTCTCCAGGCTGAACAACCCCAGCTCTGTCTTTCTTCTCAGGAGGTGCTCCAGCCCTCGGATCGTTTTGATGTCCCTCCTCTGGACTCGCTCCAGCAGCTCTGTGTCTTTCCGGTGCTAGGGACCTCAGAGCTGGATGGGGGGGTCTCAAGAGAGCTGAGTAGAGGGGGAGAATCCCCTCCCTCAACCTGTTAGCCACAGTGCTGTTGTGCCTGAGGGACAGGGAGGGGACAGCTTGATGTGCTTCACACCCACTTGTATGTTGCTGTCTGCTGGGACCAAGAAGGCTGGAGGAGCCACTGGAGGGGTGAACTACACAGACTCCTGTTGGCAGTTGATCAGAAGACCTTTATTGCATTTTTACAGCACAATATTTACTATTTTTTCAGTTACACACGCTGTCCACGCGCCTGTTCCTGCTGTTCTGTTGGTCAGCATGCGCTCTTCACGCGCCTCAAGCTAACTTGTGATGGGTGCTCCTACAAAAGTTAAGATCAACATTGTTGTTAAATTGTTTATCTTGCCATTACTCAAGATGCTGTTCTGAACACCAGGTTCCTCTTTGTATTCATTTCAAGGATGTATCAAACAACTCAAAGTCACTTGTATCAAAGTCACTTGCAGATTCCCATAAGCCACCAGCATCTGGCAGGAGGAGTTGGAGGCAAGAGGACGCGATAGTGAGAGCTTTGTGCAGAGGGAAGGCAGGGCTGGTGTCGCAGGGCTGCCCTGGGGCTGATGGAGTCTGTCTGTTCTGGGGCCTGAGACCCAGGAATGCTGGAGGGGCTGTGTGGGGGCCAGAGGCAAACCAGGCTGTTGGGGAGGAGCAGGTCCATCATGCTGCCTGTGGCAGGGTAGGCGCAGCATCACTTATGACCGTGATTGATGAGAGTCCCTGAAACTTCTTTCCAGCCTGTAACCTTCTGTACAAGGGGACAGAGGAGGTGCCTGCTGTGCCACACCTAGTGCTGGTCTGTTGTTGATGCCACGTTCTTCTCCCCACCTTCTTACTGCTGGCATTTCCTATTCGCTTTCTCATTATTATTTTGGACTGTTCACAGGAATATATCACTGAGAGTGTTTTGACTCTTTCTGTACCCACTAGGTGATGTTATTGCATGTGTTACTTCCAAGCAGGGGACAACAGCTTTGATTTATAAGCCTCTGCTCCTCTTGTCCTTCCTGAGCCTGAGTGTGAGCCAATGCTCCTTGAGACGTTTTGCTTCTTACTGAAATGTCCAGTAACCTCCTGAAACATCCAAGAGCATCCACATCCCGAATGTTTGCTGCTTATCAAACCATCCTTCCCTTAAATAAGCAAGTAGCAGTGACTGGGAATACACATTTTCCATTCAGATCCTTGTTCCTCTTGCTGTTTTTACACTTTCCCCACTATCTCAGCTACAAAATTGTGGACAATTTGGCATTACATTTCAGTTCCTGATATTTAAAGAAATGGGTGCTGGGAGGTATTGGTGGAACGTGGTAGTCTTCTCATGGCAGTGGTCCACTGGAGGGTTGAGGTTGCGCTAAGGGACTTTGTGTGGCACTCTTCATCTGGCATCTGCCATGAAGTTATATTAAAACGGAGTTTACAAAGCAACTAGGGCTTTTGTAGTATTTCCTGTACCTGCTAATTTAGTATTTTATTGCAATTCAGGTCTCCTTATTATTGTTATACTCAAAACTGAATCGGACTCTGTTTTTGTTTTTTTTATATTTTAATTATTACATTTTTAACAAAATAAGGTAAATTGAGGTTTCTCATAGAGATGACGTGCAAAGCATAAAGATTTTTTTGTGCTGGTTCACCTCTCTAGATAACTCGCTCTTAGGTGCAAATCACTCCTGTCTGGCTTGATAATATTTTCTATGGAAGTCTTTTGTGTGTCTGAAGACCTTGTAGCATCACAGTTGCATTCAAGGGATGCCCGAAAACTTGTTCTTAGAATGCATTGTTTTTAATACCTCTTGAGGTTTAGCAACCAGCAGACAGTTGGGAAGAAGAGTTCTTATAGAAGCTGCTAAAGCTCAGTTCCTCAGGCTGGTGGATGAGAAGATGTTTATTCAGTTCTTACAATTCCCTAGGGACAACTTTGCTGTAAAAACAGCGAAAGCAAAACTTTGTGTTAAAGAGATGCCAAAGTTAAACAAAACTAAATAAATAGACAGTAACAACTATTCAAGCTGCTTGTACAAAAGGGAAAAAAGAGAAAGGATTGGACTGTGATGAATTGCCATTTCAGATCACCTTTTACACTATACTTCCATAAAATCGCTGTTCTCTGCTGGGTTTGGATGTCTGCCCTAGCAAGAAGTTTGCTTCTAGAGCTGTGGCAGGCTCTGCCCAGCAGCAGAGTTTTTTGGAAGTTTGCAAATGCTTCTCATTCCCTCCTCCATGGCACAGTGTTTGACTGGTCCTTCTTCCCATTTCAGCCTGAAAGGATAGATCCCAGCGCATCCAGGCAAGGCTACGATGTCCGCTCAGATGTCTGGAGTTTGGGGATTACATTGGTAAGTGAGCAGGGTTTAAAACCTCTGCTGCACGATATTTTCCCGGTGGGTAGCCTTGGTCCGCTTTGCAATGTGATGGAGCTGGTTGGTGTCAAATGTGCTTGAAGTAAAGCGCAGCTCCGCTGCTGTGGAGGATTTGGATGTTGTGACTGAAGTGGGCACCTCCTGGCTCAGAGAGAACATAAATCCCTTCAAGACAGATGGCTCTGCTGAACCCCTGAGGATACATTGAGCTGCAGCTATGTTCTGCAGAGAAAGAGATATGAGCAAGGAAGAGGTGTTGGATTGTAAAGGAATTTTGTCTCCAAATCTCAGATGAAAAGGGATGGTGAGCGTAGTGGTGCAGAACAGAGCATCCAGCCTGTGTAAATGAGCCTCTCACAGCCCTGGCATCGGTTGTACTTTGGCTGTGCAGAAGACTTCAGTTATTCCTGGATCCCGATTGCTGCTTCCTCTCTGGCTTAATCACAGCACTGCTGGGTGCACAGAGTGATAAACTGAAAAGATCTTCCCTTCTCGAGATGGTGAAGTAGAAGCAAAAGCAGAAGCAATAAGTATGAACCAGTAGCTTCTGTCTTCCCCGCTGGCACTTTAAAATGCTCATTTTCCTTGTCCTGCAAGGAGCAGGGAGTTGGACTCAATGATCCTTACAGGTCCCTGCCAACTTGATCTATTCCAAGATTGTGTGATTCTCATTATGTGTTTTTTCTAGTGGTTGTTAGGATGCTTGGAACGGGACTGGAGGATTTTATTCTCCTATTTTTGAACACTTTAGTAAGAGCATTGGTTTATTTTATAGTCAGTGGAGGAGAAGACATTGTCAACCTGAAAGTGTGGCATAGCCAGGCTAAATCTGGAGTGTTCCTGACAGGCGGCAGAACTCACTGTTGGGTAAAACTTTCCTTCATCTTCTCTCAGTTGAGCTTTGTATAGCGAATGGGATGATGAATCTCATCTTAGTCTTTCTTTTGGGGGATCAGAATCCTTGCAGACATTTCTTACGCTGCTGGAACTTCCCCTGCGTAACCTGCCTGCTGCTGTTGCTGTCTCTCCGCAGTACGAGCTGGCCACGGGGCGGTTCCCCTACCCCAAGTGGAACAGTGTGTTTGACCAGCTGACACAAGTAGTAAAAGGAGACCCACCACAGCTGAGTAACTCAGAGGAAAGGGAGTTCTCCCCAAGTTTCATCAACTTCGTCAACTTGTGGTAAGTGTTTCCTACTGAAAGGACGTGGAGTTGGCTGGTTTTGTCATTTCACGGGATTTGGCAAGGGCTGCATGCCAAGCACTCCTTGGCTTAGTTTTGCAAGCCAACGGGAGGGTGAGGACCTTTCACATTTCACTGTTTAGGAGGTGATGGGAGACTTGTCTGGGTGGGGGCTGAAGGGCAGACCTTTGCTGAGAGCCTGTGCACGGGAGAGATGCAATCAGACCTGTGGCAGGAGGTTTGTGTGACCAGGCAAGGGCCTGGGCATCCTGTTCCTTGGTCTGACAAGCCTGGGGGCAGACCTGCTCTTTGCCTTTTCTTCTGCAGGCAGAAGCCTGAGACACCTGGCAGGATTGTCTTGCGGTTGGGATCTGTCCTGGTCCTGCCTTTTGCCTGGCAAGGCCAGGAGCCTTCCCGCCCAGCCCTGCTCAGCGTGGTGACTGTCAGGACCCGTAGCGGGTGGCTTGCTTGGTTGTTGGCTTCGTGTCTTGTGTCACTCGTACATCAAGATCAAGATTAGAGATGCTTTTCTGAGAGGACAAGGCTTCTGCAGCACGGCCAGCCTTGGGTGGGGAGCGTGTGGTGTTTGTGCAGGAGGGGCGTGGGACAGCCCTTCGGCCCCCCGCCATGTGCGTGGTCCTGCTTAGGTTAAGGGCCGATGGTGAATTTTCTGATTAAGTACTTTTCTATCAAAACATGAAAGATGATCAACGTAGTTTTGTTAACCCAATACCAAAGCACACAGGAGATCCATCAGCATGACCTGTGTCCCTCTTCTGGGACCTTCTGCTCTGGGCAGACCCAGGTGATGGACATCCCCAGGACAGGGGTGTCCAGCTCAAAGCTCTGTGACAGGAAAACTTAGCTCTAGACAATTTTAACTTTCAAGAGATTTTGTTTCAGGGTTTTCCATCTGCTGGACATGTGAAAGGTTCTGGTTCAAAATGAAAGACGTTTTGTGGTTTGGGTTTTAGTCTCTTTCAGAATTGTGAATTTTTATAGAGGCCGGGTTCTTTTTTCCCAGCTGGCTGTAAGGGAGGCTTGGATGTTGACTTTTTCAGTCAAAAACACTGTGGTATTTGGTTAGAAAGTCAGAGCTGCTTTCCCCACAGTACAAGCAATACTTTCAAGTTATCTTTCAAGTTACATCTTTCCCCACAGTACAAGCAATATTTTCAAGTTACAAGCATCTCCTTCAGAGATGCAACATCACTGTAGAGTTCGCAAAGCCAGGAGCTTGCTCCCTTGCCTTGTGTGCACTGATGAGTTTGGCTCCAGATCACCCAACAGAGGAGCCTCTGTGGCCTCTCTGCGAAACAGCAGCATCTTTGGCCCGTGGGTCCGATTGGGTCAATTCCTGTTTCCAGCCCATTTACACCTCCCGGGGCCTGCTGCTCTGAAACAACCACCTTGCCTAGAGCATGGGGCAGTTTTCAGTCTAATTCTGTTTTTTGTTTAATCTGGTTTTGTAAATAAGCTGACTTCTGCCTGGAATATTTATAGCAACACTGTAATAAATATTTTTCTTAATAACCTTTAGTTAAGTGCAAACAGTAATCTTTGCTGTTACTAAGCAGGCAGGTGAGCCTCCAAAAGGCTGTGCTGGCATAAATCTCCTGAGCATTACCCTACAAATGGGAATCTAATAATCTTCTATTTTTGTGCATTCAGGAGTCAGGAAAAATGTTGAAAGAGAGTCCTGCAGTGTTGCTGCCTGCTCGCCATGATAGATCAGTGAGGAAAGAATATTTTTGATAATAATTAAAAAGTTTCTGGAATTTTTATTTCTTTTTACAATTTCCTTTGGATGCAAACAGTGCTATGAATGCCTGGGTGGGACACTTGTCCCCTTCAGCCCGCCTCCCTCTGTTAGATGCCTATCTGAAGTCACACTCCTCCTGGAACTGCTTACAGCAATTCAGCTTTTTGCTCCAGAGTTTGCCAAGTATCCAAGCTTTGTCTGGCTTTTGGGATCCTCGTGCTGGCAGCTGCAGAGGCAGCCATGCTCGCAGCCAGAGCCACTTGCTCCCGAGGTCCAGTGTGCCTGGGGAGGGGACCCAGATGCTCCTTGTGAAGGAGCTGTAAATGGCCACTCCAGACATGGAGCTTCACGTTGAGCTGGAAAAGAAATGAAATATTTCTAGGACTGCTTGATGAAAGCATGCATGGAAATTTCAGAGCAAAACCTGGACTGTGAGCTGGCGTTCTGACTAGTTGCCCTAAAGGAGTTGTGAGGAGCATCTTCGAACCCCCAGAGTACCTGAGGTCAGGAAATGAATTGCTGTTGGGTAGCAAAACCCTGAAGTGAGGATCTTTGTGCGGTGGCTGCAGAATTTCCTGCCCTCTCTGACCTGCGCAGCTCTGCAGGCAGGTCACAGGAGAGCAGCACTGGGCCTGCAGCGTTCGTTACCCTCTGCTGCTCCAGATAATTGGAGGCCATGCCATAGTAGCGCTGGAGCTTGAGACAGGTCCAGCCAGAGCCCGTGGGGATGGAAATGCAGCTGTTGGGAATTAGACTGAGCTCTCCTGGGTTGGGAAAGATGAAAGATGCTGCCTCCGCCCTTTCTCTTCCCAGGGGTGCAGCTCTGGTTCCCAGGCAGGGTCTGCCAGTGCCACCCATTGCCCCTCCTGTCCCCTGCCATGTCACCCCTGCTGCAGGGGCTTTGATGGCCTTTGCTGCCACCTGCTGTCCCCTGCACTGGGGCCAGGTGGTCGGAGTGCCAGAGGAGCCCACCAGGAGGGGACGCTTTCCAGCCTGTCCCCCCTGTCCTCCAGCTGCCCATGGGCAGCCGTGTCACCTTTCCTGTCCCTTCCTGTCGGCTGTGGCCTGCTCAGCTCTGGATGTACCACCAGTGCTGGGAATGAGCCAGGAGGGCTCAGGAGCCTGGACCTGGCCCTGCAGAGCGGTTTGGCCATCTGCTGCCTGCGACAGCCCCTGCTCACGTGTGCCAAGCTGATGGTGTGGTGCCTGCATCCCCCGTCTGTGCCCGGGCAGACAGCGCTGGCTCTTCTCCTGTCGGCTGTGGCCTGCTCAGCTCTGGATGTACCACCAGTGCTGGGAATGAGCCAGGAGGGCTCAGGAGCCTGGACCTGGCCCTGCAGAGCGGTTTGGCCATCTGCTGCCTGCGACAGCCCCTGCTCACGTGTGCCAAGCTGATGGTGTGGTGCCTGCATCCCCCGTCTGTGCCCGGGCAGACAGCGCTGGCTCTTCTCTGCCTCTGAGCCCTGCTGCTCAATGGATGGAGGTCAGGCTGGCTGCTGCTGTGGGCTGCGGTCAAACCCGTTTCTGTGTGGAGGCAGCAGCAGGTCAGGATGGCGTTCCGCTTGCAGCACAAGGATGGTTTTTGCAGGAACAAAAGGCAGTGAGTCCCACCATGACAGCGTGGATTCAGTATCGTGTCCTGTAAAAATTTGCGTTTGATGTCTGTAACAATTTCCCCAATTCCACCTTCTCCTAATTCTCTTTTTGCTTTCTTTAGCCTTACAAAGGACGAGTCCAAAAGGCCAAAGTATAAAGAGCTTCTGGTGAGTGCAAACGTGGCTGCCCGCACTGGCTATCGTGGCTCTGCCGGTCACGCAGCGGGGCTGGGTCGCATGTCTGAGGTTGCTCCTTGTCTTCTTGGGCTAAAAAAGCAGCTCCACAGCCTGAAGAAGAGCACCACCGCCCCACCACCGCCTCTGGCCTGCGGTCGTGGTGATGGCCAAGATCATTAGTGTCTGTACATGAATACAGGAGATCAGCATGGGGGGGACGCGCCGTTGCAGCGGATCACTGATCCCTGAGGTGGGCAGGCTGGGGCAGAAGCGTGCTGGCCGGGCCATGTACATCCTGCCTTTGCCTGAGGTCCTGATACCACACAGAAGCCCTGTCAGACTGCTGGCCAGCGCTATCCTGTGGATGCCTCCAATGCACAGGCCACACAGCGAGGCTGGGAGTGCTCCGGCAGAAGTGAGACCTGAAAGAACACAGCTCTGGAGTGGGACACCAGCAGAGTCTGGCTGGGGGGGGTCTCGAAGGAGGAAGAGCAGCAATACTGGGGGGTTGGCTACGTCACACTTGGCAACCATGCACCTGCAAGGAGCTCTGGGCATCGGGAAGTCACCTCTTCAGGGACGTGTGAAACCATGCCCTGGGTCCCTGGTGGTGGTGGTGGTGTGATACGAAAGGCGTTTGCCTGGTGTCCTGGCCCAGAGAGTCCCTGTGTCATTAATTTCCAGCTGCTCTGAGTTGGGTTCGGCCATTGCAGCCTTCTGGTCAGAGCAGAAATGATCTCCTGTTTGATCTCTGCAAGCCATGGCTCCCTGTCACTCCTGTCTCCCCATTGCTGACAAGGCTGATGATGAAACCTCTCTTGAAAGTATTTCAGTACATGTCCATGCTACACAGAAGCCAGGTGCTTCTAATCCTGCACCCTCACTACCTCCTGCCTGGCAGTTTCTGACCCTCCTGGAGTCCTGTCCCGCCTCCACGTGGTACATTTAAGATATGGATTCCCTGTATGTAAAAGCCATGGACCAGACTATGTCCTGTTGTCCTACAGCTACCATCAAGCCCCATGTTCTAGCATCAGACAAATCCCTGTTAAGCTTTGTCTGGGGTAGCCAGCATGTGTGAGAAGGCAGAATGTAACCTTGTCGTTTTTTTCTCTGATTCCAGAAACATCCCTTCATCCTGATGTATGAGGAACGCACAGTGGATGTTGCATGCTATGTTTGTAAAATCCTGGATCAAATGCCAGCAACTCCCAGCTCTCCAATGTACGTCGATTGATATTGCTGCTACATCAAACTCTAGAAAAAGGGCTGAGAGAAAACAAGCTGTAAAGAATTTTCATCACATATTGCAGTGTTTTTAATGCTCGCCCAGACACCATGTGCAATAATATTGGTGTTATTTCCATCCTGTCTGTATACTGTTGTCACATATAAAGTGCATCCCTGTAATACCTGATCACACAGTGTTAGTGTTGGTCAAAGAGAGACCTCATCTTGCTCTTTTGTGGACATATTCATGAAATGTGGAAATAAGTACATTTATTTGTTGACCGTGATTGGATAGCACCTAAAATTAATTTCTAGACTCAGAACTTGGAGACTTCTCTACAGCTACTGGAAAGATTTTTCTCTCAAACTCTTCCAATTGTTGTTTCAAGTAATAATAAAAAGCAAACAAAAGTTAGGCGTTGTCTGTCTGAACAGCAAGAGACTTTGCCTGGAGGGAGAAGAACTTGCTTAACCAACAAGATGCTTTGCCTTCTGGAGCTAGAAAGGCAAAGGAGAATTTTATTCTTCACAAAGTGCAATAGATTTACTGCTATGAAATTCTGTTGCTTTACAGTCGCAGTGTACTTTCTGGGGACAGTGTACTCAGCTGAACTTCCTGTTAAAGAGAGATCATGTTAAATATAGTGAATATGTCTTTACCAAAAATACGTTGCGTTGAAAGAGGCTAACATTAAACTATTCAGAGATGGGACATAATGTATTCTTTCTCCTTTTACCAAGCCAGCCACTCTTCACTCTTAACTAGGTGTCCTGTAAATTGTTACCTGGTAAGATAAGACCTTTGACCTGAAGAATTATTAAACTACTCGATTGAATTTAACCTGCTTGTGACCTGATTTATAGCTGCACAGTGCTGACCACCAGCTGGCTTTGCTTTGACTCCGACAAGTGCCATTCATAAAGTCTGCAGGTGCTCTAATGAGCCACAAACGAATGTCTCTGATTCCTAGCCAATGTTTCCCGTGTTCTTCACTGTCCCCAGCCCTGATGCTAGCGCCTTTTCCCTGTCCCCAAGACCAGCTGGGCAGCGCTGCCGCAGCCCAGCCCTGTGCCGCTCACAAGACCAAACCTCAGCGCTTCCTTCTCGCCACTGCCAGCAGGATGGGGGGGATGTCCCCCGGCCGCACAGGGGCTCTGCCTGCCCTGCTGCTGCCAATGTCACGCTCTGCTTCGCTTGCTGGAGACCTTCACCACCTTCTGGGCATATTTAACCTCTTTTGTGACCTGCCATAGCTCTTGTTACTGCACCCTGGAGTGAACCGCACTGAGGTTTGGTGCAGGTGGAGATGAGGGAGCGTCCAGCGCCTTGTGGACTTTTAGCTGACCCGGCGAGGCCCGGCAAGCTGTCATCTTCTGGCCCACTGCTGAGCAAGAAAGCGCATCACTTGTGGTTTTTTTCACACTGGCGTATTTTTCAAAGATTAGTTTTTCCTGAAAACATTTTTTTTTCCAAAACGTTGCGTTTTCAGGCATTTGGTAGCACACCAGGGATAAAACGGAGGCTGCAGGGTCTCTGATTTCCATTTGGAGTTGTCTAGTTCAGGCACTTGGTAGGACTTCACCAGTGTCAGAACAACCTACTGTCAAAGCTCTGCAGCAAAACCTGACCCAGGACACAGAGGGCTAGAGATGCAATGGGAGTGAAAACAGCGGTACTGGCACCATTCCCAAGGAAGGGGCTTCCCCCATCAAACCAATGCCGCTAGGTGCAAACTGGGCTGATGTGGGAGCACTGGAGACCAGTACATCCCTGACCCAGCTGCTTGGTTGGCAAAGGAGAGAGACAAGGCTGTGTGGGTGTGGAGACCTGGTGTTTGGCGGCAGAGGTGACACCCTTGCATAAGGCTGGGAGCATGTCACTGGCTCGGCTGTGGGAGCTGGTCTCGGGCACCGAGGTTCCCGGCGGTGTGATCCCCTGGGGTGCAGCGTGCCTGGCCGGCAGGGAGGTGCTGTCCTGTGGCCCTGCCTGGATTATGTTCCTCTGGGGCTGCTGGTCAGGCGAGGCAGTCACTCAACTCTTCCCAAAACGGAGAAGGCAGAGCTTTCTGAAGTAACTCCTCATTCCCAACAGTTCCAATGAATCCCAGGGAAGGATCAGTTGAACAGATACGTAGTGTATCTGAAGCTGTAATTCTCCCCCGGGGAGGTGCTGTCCTGTGGCCCTGCCTGGATTATGTTCCTCTGGGGCTGCTGGTCAGGCGAGGCAGTCACTCAACTCTTCCCAAAACGGAGAAGGCAGAGCTTTCTGAAGTAACTCCTCATTCCCAACAGTTCCAATGAATCCCAGGGAAGGATCAGTTGAACAGATACGTAGTGTATCTGAAGCTGTAATTCTCCCCCGAGACCTCAGAAAACATGGCTTTTCTCCGGCTTGGCACATCCCCACAGCCGTGATTCCTCTCACCAGCCTCCAGCCACCCATCACAGGACCTCGAGGGTGCTGGCGGGGGGACCAGAGAGGCACAGATCCGGTAACAATAGAGACATGCAGAGGTGCTTTGCCCCCACCTTTCAGATGACAAAAGTCTGATTCACATCTCCCCAGAGACAGGGAGCCCGAAAACCTTTCAGAGGGCTAACACGGAGATGGATCTTCCCAAAAATCAGTTTCCCACCAGCGCAGGTGGCTGCCTAGCTCTGCACTTTTTGCACGCCTGGGGTCTGTTCTCGCTGCCAGCCCTGTCCAGAGCTTGTCTTTGGCAGCGCGACCCGTTTTTCTGTGGGAGATGGAAACGTGAAGCTTTGATCTGCCAGGGACAAAGTCAGGGCTGAGGTGCTGTGGCACAGGTGGCTGTACAGAAGGACAGGTTTAGCATATCCTACATAGATTATTATAAACTATTAAGGGTGCACCATTTATTACAATGTATCTTTATTAAAAAAAAAAAAAAAAAGGTGTATAGTGTTCAGAAGCTGTGAAAATAGTGTAAGAACTGTACATTGTGAACTCTGGTTATTTTTTTTTTCCTGTACCATAGAAAAATGTATAAAAATTATCAAAAAGCTGATGTGCAGGGATGTTGCCTTATTGTCTGTAAAATGGAGCTCAGGAACATAACTTCTTCAAAGAGCTTCAGAATATTTTATCCGGTATCCTGGTTTGACTTTTTCCTCTATTTAAGATATTATACATGGATCAGAGTGTTTATGTAATAGTTCTATCCTTTTGCCTGCAGGTCAGTTGTAATAAAACTAGGATGCGACTGTGACCTTGTTATTTTCATTTTGTAAGGTCAGATGTGAATGGGAAGATTCATTAAAAGCTGTTGCAATACCTGGCTTCCAGGCCCTTCCTCCAGGAGGAGGCAGCAGTGTAGAAGGCAAGCAGCCTTCAAAACTACTTATGCTAAATTAAAAAAAAAAAAATAAAGTGTAGGGAGACCTGGATATATTTTCTTTCTCTGG